CGGGAATTCAATCTTTGAGCATCATTGAGATTTTGATATTTAATGAAAAAAACATCATCCCCATCAGCATTTCTCTCAATCCCATCCTCCAAATTATTATATACGTTAACAAATTTTCATAGATTATGAAAAAAGATATAATATACAAAGTACACGATACTATGGCAAATATCTTTTGTAAGTGCAAAGTTGCTATGGAGTAGAAGATGCGAGGAAAATGCCACAACTTGTCCAGGCCGAAGCGGTACAATAATTTGGAGTTGAGAGAAACATAATTCTTCTCCCTCAAATTCTCTGTGAGCGACCAAACAGTATAAACTATTTGGTTCATCATGTTCATTCTAATGATAATCGCTAGTTGTATTGTAATTAATAGCGATCATCGGGAAGATTTCAAAAGATCGAGGTGCAAAGGGACCCCATGCCAACTTCTCTAGTTTTTCATATAAATTTCCATAGAATTTTCGTACAAATTCATTGATAGAAGTTGATAATGGGCCAAGATTGCAAAGTAAAGTGTTAACGCATTCTTGATGTGTAGTATTATGAGAGCTTGCGGTATTTGAACTAGTAAATAGGAGGAGGTTATTTCGTGTATATGCACCAAAATGTTCTATGAAATTTTTCCAGAATTCATCACTATGATGGGAAGGGTTATTTAGAGTGTGAAAATAATAATAGTTTACGGCATCCATTGCTTGTATAACCGCCCTTAGATTATTTAGTAATGCTAAGTGTACTAAGGTTCTACCTTTTACATCTGTAACACACTCCGAAATGGTTAAATGGCGAAGTTTTACTAATTTTTTAAACGAATAGAAATTATCACGAGCAGATATTATTAAATGGGCTTTCTCTTTTCGAGAAATATATGAGGTGGTTCTTAAAATGTCCTGTGATTCATTGTTTTAAAAATTAATAGCATATCTAAGATCTATCTATTTAGACCGAAGGTGACGACGCACATCTCTTCTTATAACCAGTTCTTCCATCCCCAACCAGCGACCAAGAGCGACCCATAAACGTTTATTTTTTGTATTATCAGGATAAGAATTGGCATCATCATGCTCCCTCATTTTAATTATTTCTTTATCTACTAACAGAAGGAAATTAGGTGGGACATTGAACAACTCAATATTATTAGCCAACCTTGCTTCTCGAATTAGCATATCTACTAAAAGATCTTTAGATGAAATTTATTCGCAAATTTTAACACCCCCTAATGATATATGATCCAACGGACAAAGGGTGACACTTTTCCATTCATTTTCAATATAATGAATTTTATCACGCATACACAATCTCTGAGTCGCATATTGGGTCCCGTGCTAACATAATGGAAAATAAAATTAGATATCTGATGCAATTATCAATATGAATGATTATATAAATCCACACTAGGTTGTATTTTTTTGCGGACTGAACAAACCACCCAAGCCAAAGTACTGAGCTATCAAAATGATAATTATGCCCTTTCGAATACATAACATACAGAAGCCAGAGGCCCTAGTTGTGGAGCAACAATTTTTTGCATAGCTTAAGTATACTCATAGCAAGTAACTTGAACGATTGATCGATCAACACAAAAATAACCCAGGCATGAGAAAGTAAAACCGAAATCTAAGGCAAAAATGATATATACTTGATTTGGATCAAAAATAATATCGCTAGTTATCAACGATAAAATCAGTTTTGACACATTATAATCCGTCAACAAGGCCGAATTTTGTTCTTTCTCAAGCTTTTGTTTTTTATTATAGTGAGCATAACGTGACAACTTTTTGACTGGTTTTTTTTAGAATATGTTAATAAGGTTAGGAATTTCATTTTCATTTTTACGCTTCTCAATCGATGCTTGTATTGTTTTTGAATTTTAAGTTATTAACAGATAGAAATATATAGCGAATATAACAATGTATAACGAAGTATAAAAAAAATATCAAATAAATTATAAGCATCTATGTTGAGAGGCACCCTTTTATTAGAAAATACAATTATAACTAAAGGTATAGTTCTCTAACGCATGTTAATTTATAAATTTGCCAAATATTTTTTTTATCACAGCATTATATGTTGCAAAACATAACTTGACGATTTAACACTTTGCAATTACAGAATGCACTTTCTAAAAAATAGTAATTTGTCAAAACAATGGTTAGCACATTGCTTTATTTGACATTATAATAGACATGGTAATTTTCTAACAAACAATTGCATGTTTACCAAATTCAGCACCACAATTATTAGACATGGCAATTCAATCAACAATCGCACGTTTTTTATATTTGGGATTAGATAGTTAGCAGATATTTAGTTATACAGAGTACAGTAATAATTTTACATACTATATATCTCAAGCCTGATTTACAAATTTAGAATAATTACTGTAAATACAGATGCAAGTAAATATTGATTTGATGGTCCCACAGGTCTGCACAAATTCTTATTGTATAAATTTTGTGCCTCTGACGGCCTCCAGAGGCTGTCAGAGTATAGTTAGTTAACTATTAGTTAACTAATATTTTTATATTTTTATAATAACGATAGCGATCACTTGATATTCAGGTTTATCAGTTCAAATGTGCGATAAAAATTTGACCGGCTTTAATAATCAATAGCCTGTATTAAATTTTATGCAGTGTCACTTTCCTGCAGAATCATTTCTCACAGTGCGATTTTTTTTATTAACGAATATTACAAATAATACGAATAATATCTAGACCCTTTTCCTTACTTTATACGATCCTGCAATAAGAATGAGACTTAAAAAGGCTATAAAGGTAATGAGTATAATGTTCTTTATTAGTATTTTTATCAAAATTCATATGTTACAGTGACTTCAAATCTCTGCTATCTCCAAGATCGTCAGATCTAAACCCACTTTAAATGATCATCGATTATAAGGGGGTTAATTTCACCAGAAAAATATCAAAATAGATTTAGTGTTTGGAACTTATGACCGAGTGGATGCAGTATTTTTTTTTATTTGTATATGGGTAATTATTTTTGAATCCAGACCAAAATGTTATTACGTCATATATAAATTAGTCTGGGTTCAAAAATAATTACCTATATAGTCATCCTGGCAATAATTTTTATGAAATAAAGAGAGGGGTTTTGTGTTCGTGCCATTTTTTATTTTTTATTTTAATGCGATTTTTATGAAATAAAGACCATTCATGACACGTCATGCTTCTAACTGACTTTACCTCTAAAGTTATGCAAATGTTTTACAGAATAGGTGAGCAATATAAGAAATAAGCTTCGCTAATGATTACTGGTAGTAATATTAATAGATACTTAGCGGAGTTTGCGGAGTTTGCCCACCTAGCATCCTGGAAGAATAATCATGCATTATGATATAAACAAGCCAAAAAGGGATTTCAATACATTTTTTTTACGTATTTATAAAAAGCAAATGTATTTTTAACTTTCAAATAACAATAAATTAAGATTCTAACTTAAGTGTTTTAAATATTGTTATTTTGTTTGTAATTTGTGTTATTTATTATAATGAAAATTTTATTCAGCTATGGTAAAAAATCACTATATAATTTACGTATTACAATTTTCTTTTGGCTTCAAGATAAAAAAGAAATTGGTTTAAATTTTTGATTTTTATTCATGACTTATGATGTTATTCCAAATATTAAGCAATCACAATGGGTATAAAGGTTTGGAATCGTACAACTAAAGACATACACATTGGTCTCTATGTCTCTCGCACTCATATCTCAGGTTCCAGAGATCCGAAAACTGTAGAACTCATTCATCCTGGTAAATATCATAACTGGGTAACAGTCATGGACCAAGAATCTTATTCGTAAAAATCGGTAGAGAAAATCTTTTTGAAAGTCCAGTTTCTAATGGAGTTTGGGATGTTCAAGGATATAATCATATTGTTCAAAAATAAATAATTTTTTTAAATAAATAAATTTTATGTTGTCTTTATGTTATTGAACGTATTGCTATATTGATAATAATACATGTAATGTAAATATAATTATGTATGAAATTAGCCACAATTCTATAAACTTCCCTCCTCAAATCAGTAAAATTATAAATATTTTTTATTTATATCAAAAATTAATTTTCTATTATTTTTATATTTTTATTTAAAATTGACTGAATCAAAATATTATATGAATACATGCTTCTCTTTTGGAATTTTTAGGGGGTTGGTAGTAACCTTGCCATTTTTTTATTTTTACATGATTGTGTAAATTGAGTTGGAATTTATCTTGTGATCTACGATCACTAATATCTAGTTAATTTCTTTTTTGACTTATGCTTTCATATTTACTATAGGGATTTCACTAAAAGTTCTCTTACAACAATAGAGATGATAAGTTTTTTCAGCATAATAATTACCATTACCCCACCAACCTTTTACGCCATCTCCTTTATATTCTCTATTATATGCTGAACATATTCCTGAATAATCATAATTATCGCTATATTTATTGCTATATTTAAGTGATAAATTATTAAATCATTCCAATGTGGTATAAATAATAAGATTTCGTCTTTCTTCTTAACCATCGGGTAAAATAGAAATTGGAAGACGAGAATTAGATGATGCATTTTTGTTTATAGGTAATATGTGTACCTCTGTTTCATTTTTGCTTTCTTTGATTTGGGGGATCTAGAAGTTTCAAAGTTTATCCAAGGATTGAGTTCAGTTTTATTCTTATATTTTTTATATAATCTAGAACGAATTTTATTGGACAAAATGCTTGGTAATTCCGTTAATTTAGCTTCCAACTCCAAATATTTGGGAGTTAATATTTTATTGATATTTGTTTGTGAATTCATGTTGCTGTGTTATATAATTGTACATCTTTTTAAATTGATAATAGCTGAGAAAAATAAATATGCCTCAGTCTTTTTTCTCATAAATTCGAAAAAAAAAAAAAAGTAATTAGCTTCTGTTTAAATACAAGTATATATAGTGATTACTTACTTTTTGACTTCGAGCAAATATTGCGAGAAGGCAGGGTTTATACTGTTACTTCAATTTCAATTCCACGCTGTTCACATTTAAGATTATAAGATCTAATTTCATATCTGCCTTCTATACCATTTTCATCATCATGATCTAATTTGTATAGCGGGCATAAAGATTCATCAGTAATTCCATAATAATCGTTGTTTCCATCACTATCTTCTTGGCATAAATTAGGGTATTGCTTTAAGATTTTATTACGGAAATAAACATGATCACAAGTTGGATTAGACAGTATACTTGCCTTAGTCTTCGGTAAATCTTTAACTTTCTCATTTATCATATCTTCTGAATTAGAGGTATGAGACGATTCAGTAGGTATACTTGCCTTAATATTTGATGTGCCATTCGAGTTAGATGATTCAGTCACATGCGCGTTCTGTTTCAGAATGCTGATCTTTTTTTGGCAATTATTTTTATCGTCTGGGTTAGTCTGTTTTTTAAGAAAATGATTTATGATATTTTGAATCTGATCATCTTTTAAACTTGAAATAGTATTTGCACTGTATGTTATTTGCCTAATTTTATCTTTCAAATAATGTATAGACTTTTTTAGCTTTAAAACTTCTCTTACGCAAATTTATATCACTAATATCGGGAAGAAGCAATTTAATTTCATTATATTACCAAAGTTCTCGCTGATTGATCATCAATTTTTTTCTTGGATTTAATATCATTAACTCGATTTTCATACGCTTTGGTGTAATACACGTTACTCTGGCTATACCGATACTCTTCAGCAATAGAAAAATTGTCAGTATATCCAGATGTCAGTTTAACAAGCATCTTTTTTTATACTGACATATATTGACAAAATATTAATATGTCGGTTTAGCCAACATAATTAATTTTTATAAGATCTCTGATTTGATGGCAATTTTACAGATAGCAGTCAACTTCCCAATGGTTATTATATTATACTGAGTGGTAATTTAGATGCTATTAGTTGCAGTTATATTTGGTTATAAATTTTTACACAGTATGATGCTAAGAAATGGGGTTAGTTCGAATTTTATCGATATATTTAAACTGCATATGCTTCATTGTTATTATTGTTTTTTTTTATGTTATATACTTCCTTGAATTTTAAGATATATTTGTGATTCAATTTTAATGATTTATTTAGACCCGCAAGTGCTTCACGTTCTTTTTGATTGCACAGTACCTGTTCACTATTTGACTTAATTCCGGAAAATTTTGCCTAATTCAATAACTGTCTGTTAAGTTTTACTAATTTAATTATTTTGAATTATTTAAACATAACGTTTGAGTGTTGCAAAGCTAAAACATGCAAATATTATCTAGTAAAATTTGCATTTTTTAGTTTTGCAGCATTTGCCTTTATTATCTAGTTAAAAACGTGTGAAACAGGCCAAAGCTTTAGAGTCGATAAGCATGCTGAACTATGTCGACCACCACAGGGTCGAATAAGGTAAGTATTTAAAACGATATGCTCTGAGTATATTACTTACAGAGAGAAAAGCACACCTTAAATTTTATTTTTTCACTTTTACTTATATACGCGCTTTCTCTAATTTAATTACACTGTTTGATCATGCACATTTGACTTTTAATTAATTTATTACTAATCACGCCATTTTCTATAAACCTTATTATGACATTTTTCATGCATCTATTACTAATTTATGCGACACTTATTTAACTAATTTATTTCCATATGCCCTGATCTTATAATTCGACCCATATCTATTGCCACGTGTTTTATTTCAGTATCCAAGGATGCTGAAATATGCCAATACAATTTTTTTTCATTCATTTAAGTAATGTTCACCGACTCTATATCTGGATAAGTGCGCGATGCATTGTGCAATTCTGCCACACCATCCTTAGCTGATTTTAGATAATGCACCAAAGCTTTTGGTTTATCTAATTCAGCCTCAATTCATAAATAACAATTGGCTTTAACCACTTCGTGAACATATGTACATATATACTGAAATTCTGATAAACTAAGGCTTTTTGAAAAATAAAAATGATAACCTTGTCATTGATTTATGCCAAGATTATTTATTTAAATTTCACATATTTCTAATTTTATTTCTTGGCATATTATTTTTATTAGAGGGATCCAATTTTTTTGGTCGTTACATTAGCTTTTCACAAGGGTTGCACTAACTTTAAAAAAATTAATAATTTTCTATATGACCCGTTGACCCGGGTCATGACCCGGGTCAATATTTTCCGACCCGGGTCATAACTCTACTTTTGTGAAAAAAAAATTTTTCTTGCTAGCCTGAATAGTAATTCTGTTAATCCTAATAGCAACATCAAAAATAGCTAGAAGGTAGTAGTTTTAAGCTTAGTCTGTAATGAAGTAATAATAAATCTAATAGTGCTTAGATTAATGGTCAAAAATCTATAAAATACATATGTATGTTGTAGAAGGGAAAATTAGTCCAAGATCATTGCTGAAGTAGTTGTGAGAGGAA